GCTCCTTTGGTGGGGAGGCCTGTTAATCTTAAGCAAACGCCATTAACTGTTTGCTCATATCGCCCAAAGAAAGTATGCTGCAGCCTCCTTTGTCTCCCTATCAGTTGTTTTAAAAAAAAAAAAGGTTTGTGCCGTAACGGCGCGGCCGGTCAGGGCCAGAGGCTTTGATGTGCCGTTTCATGTGACGAATAAACTGAGGTGAAACCCCAAAACCTGACCCTGAAGTTGCAATTTCAGGAGCTGAAGTGGTAAAACTAATTTAAACTACCCTCTTTCCTTAAAATTGAGACTTTACCATGAATTGATTCCTGTAATTATTCCGGGGTGAAATAGTTGTTTGAACCCTATAATTTATTAGGCTAAATGTGCAATTATGGGATGTTAGAGTACAGTTTAATGTTTGTGTGATTGTAGAAAGTCACTATTTGTTGGTGTGTCTGTAAAGATTGATTAAAAGGTGTGCTGCTTTTCTTTTCCCTTTGAAAGAATCGCAACCAACGACACGCGTCATTAATTACCTTGGAGTCTATAAATCAATACAAGGCATTGACGCCATTGAAGCAGCGTAACTGGGACAGGTTTTAATGATAAATGTTTGGAGATTCATTAACAAAATCTGCTCATTTCTCTGACCTGTAGAATTGCACGCAACTTATTACTCGTGCATTTTAAAAAATCGACTAAATAAAAAGGATTTCATTCACCGTTTAAAATGTCAGTTTAAAACCTTACATTTGTTTTTGTTGTTGTTTGTTTTGTTGTGGTTTGTTGAGTCATTGGTAAACGGCCTGTTGATCAAAGTTGAACTCCTTAAATTCTCCATATATTTTGTGTCTCTATTTGTTTAAGAAAACTAACATGGCTCCCCCTGTCACAACTCCAGAAACTAACAACTTCGACTTGAGCAAAAAATATCAATTCATGTGATAAATTACATTTCCAGAAATAATCCACTTTTACCAGTTCTCTTTTCTTTTTTTTTAAATCCTGATGTTTAAAAACAGGAAAATTCTGGCGATTTGGGTGCTAGAAAAGGTTGGTAGGTAAAAGCTTAAACAACAAAAAGCAGGAGCGTTGCACGGTGCACGGAGAGGCGACAGGCCTCAACATGGCCGTCCGGAGCTCAACTCCCGTCCTCGGTTCCCTTTACGCGTGTCTTCAGTCCTGTCTCTCTGCCCACTTCCTGTTTCACGTTACTGTAAAATAAAAGCCACTAGAAACAAATTCCAGGATAATTCAACCAATTAAATATTTAATCGACAGAAGCAAAAGCGGTCCAAACAACACTACACAAACGTAAAAGCTAGAAATGTGATTTAATGTCTCCTTTTCAGTAACAAACATATCCCACCTAACAACGGGTAAAGATGGACAAACTACATGGACGAGCGGTTATAGACGACGGATGGATGGTTTGTTAAAAAAAAACAAAATAAAGGTAAAACCTCTATTCATTTACAGCAAAGAGTCGTTCTCTCTTTTTTGAATGTTAGTTACTTTAATCCTTATAAATGCACAAAATTTTGCAATATTCAGAAAAATTGTATAGCAATTTTTTTAACCCTTTCATGTATGAATTATAATCTTTTGTGTCAGGATATTTTTCGTTTTTTTATTTTCTTGAGGAGTAAAAAAAAGGAAAAAAATTTACACTTTTTTTTTTTTTTTAGGTGATCAATTGTATTTTGTCCAAATACAAAGTTCTTATTTGAAAAATACATCAGTAGTATTGTTCTTTATGGGTTATCTGATCATTTCTTTACCTGCAAGAGTCGTCTACAGTAGAAGGAGGGACCGGGTCAGTCGGCATGCTTTTTTTGTCTGTCGGCCATATTGGATTTAACAAAAATAATTTCTTGCATTTGCAGCTGATGGCCAGTAGTTGATAGTGTATTTTATGATGCATTAGTGTCCACTTCAGTGGTCTCTGACCATTTACAACTTAAAAATCCACAAGATGATGACTTTTAGATAGCTGCCCACTGTAGTGACCACTAGTCAGTGTTTTGCTGTAAATTACAAGGAGATTGTAGATTTTCCTTTATCACGTCACATATTTTTTTAGGTGTATTACTCAGGTTTAAAGTCATGGTCATCTTTGAATATCTTTACTAGTTTATGTATTGTAGCAACGTTTACTCTTCCTTACTGCTTGCAAACACATCAGAACAACTTAGCAACTCCTTACCTACACTGACGGCTAAAGGAGGGTTTTCAGTGTCTGCAGCGTTCGCATCGACCTCATCTCGCTGTACAATTCGCAGCTTTTATGTTCCCAAACGCACACAAACACATGCACACCTCTGCACGCCTCCACATCATCCCATTTCTCCGTCAAAGGCCTCGTCCGTCGTATTTACAGAGCAGAACAAGCAACCCCGCTGAACGTCACTTGACATTCAGGGATAAGAGACAGACGGTCCGATAGCTGAGTGACAGGTGGGTACAAAGGAAGGGAGGAAAGCTGCATTGTTAGAGGGAAACGCGAGGGGATATCTGTCTGGTTTCCATGTAAATACTGGATTATTTTATAATTTGCATCATTGTGCGCTCTGCAAACACTGAGACCGATTTCATATGGACGAGACTGTTAACTTTTCTAACTTACAATCCAATCCATGAAAGGTTGACCTCTCGGTGAATACATTGACTTACGGGAGACATAACAACATAACTCCATAACTAAACAGACACTGAGAGGCTATTAAATGTGTCCATGACGGAGAAAAGCCAAGGACTGATTAGACGGATGAAATGCAACCAGACGACACCGACTTATTTAAGCGAGTCGTTTGAAATCACGCTCTGTGAGAGTAGCTGGTGGGAAATGCTTTGTCAGAGCTGATTGTTTTCAACACCATGCATGTCATTTGTGATATTTAAACGTAGAATATTCTTTCGCTTTGTATTCACATCGCAGGTGGAGTTTGTTTTCCAGATTGTGCTTGTGTTTCACACTTATAAGCATAACTTGTGTTTTACTCTTGTCCGAATAACTTCACTAGGAACTTTTAGAAGACGTGTTTTTTTTCTCTCTCTCTCTAAAAATAAAATAAGCTGGACAAAAATAGATTCTCGGTGCAGTTTTGAAAGATTTGGGCTTCACGCAGTTCCTGGCAGAAGCATTTCTCTTTATGTCCACAAACTTCTGTGCGTTTAGCAGTTGTTTTGTGTGATATAATGTGAATTAAAGCATAAAGGTTGGGAGGCCGTAGAGTGATTCACGAAGTTGGAAATTGGGCTGCAGAGACTCATAATTACAGCTGCAAATCTTTCAATTCACCTACCAACTTTGATCATTCTACTTTTAAGATCAGACCGATTGGTGGGATGGAAACAGATCAAGTTTTGCATAGATTACCTCCTGGACTTCAGTTTGGACTTTAACTGGGCCATTTCAATACATCTGTTTTGTAGCATCTTTCTGGCCTTTTACTGGAATTATCCTATACTTAGCTCCACTCATTTTCCAAATATTTCTGACCAGCTCTCCTGACACTGCTGAAGAAAAGCATCCCTGCAGCATCGTGCTGCCACACCCGTGTTTAACTGGATGTGGGGCGTCCAGGCTGACATGATTGTTAGTTTTCCACTACACAGAGATTTGCATACAGACCTAAAGGTTCATCTGACAGGAACGCCTTCCTCACCTTTTCCTTTCGTCCCTAAATTGCTTTTTAATAACTGTTTGTCAACAATGACTTAGCGTTCTTCCAGATTTGAGATCAGATTTGCGGAGTCCTGAGCCGATATCTCCTCTCAGCGGCGTCTCTCACCTGAGCTGTGGAGCGCTGCAGCTCCTCCAGCGTCGCCGCAGGACTTCCTGCTGCTTCTCTGATCAACGCGTCAATTCGTTTAGGCGTTCTTGGCAGATTTGGCCGTTCCATTTTCAAGAAGTTCCCTCTTTGCATTTTCAGATGTTGCATTGATCGACTTTACCCTGATCTGTCTGATGTGTTTCACTAAATGTGAATACGTTCAAGTGGCATTTCCTGCTTTTAAGGTGCTGTAGACATTATATTTTATTTCCAATGAATCAGGAATTGCATAACAAAGCTCTTACACAGAAAGGGTGATTGCTAGAAGCTTAGATGTAATTTGAATCAACTTCTGAAGACTAATTTATTTTGTAGCTAACCTGTTAAGTGACTAATTAAAGTCTATTCTCTGAGCCAGTGTAAGGATGGTTTTGACAAAATGTCATGTTTATTGCTTGGTGAGTATATTTTGTTTTTATAGCGCAAAGCACTTTGACATGCTTTGTTGCTAAAATGTGCTGTCCAAATGAACTTGACTTGATTTCATCAGCTGTAAACTTAACTGAATATTATCAGGCCTTTTGTTACCAAGACAACAATACTTCATTCAAAAGGAGAATCTGGATGTTTTCATTTTAATTTAAGATCCTTTTACATTTAACCCACAAACAGTTGTGTTAAGATTTTTGACAAATATTTTTGCAGGCTGTTCATTTCTTCAGGTCTTAAAGAAAGGGGGAAAAAAACAACTAACATACCAAATTAGGTCAATATCTTTAAGATATTTATTAAGGATGAAAAAAATGTGTAAGTCAGACCACAAAAAAAAAGAAAAAAGAAAAAGCACTCTTCTCGAGATGTTTGATCTCCATTTTCCTGAGATTGTGCTAAGTTGATGCCGCAGCCACATCCCCATTACTCCGGGGATTTCGGTGACCCGGGTGAGTAATGGCAGCAGTGCATTAGGAGAGAAAGGGAGAGAGATGTGTGATAGCCTGAGTTGTGAGTCAACATCAGAGGCCACAGGCTGACCCCACGGGGGATTACACACTCTGATTTAAGAGCATCCCTCTCCAGCTCCTCTCCTCGCCGCAGCTACCTCCTCGGCACATACAACACCCACATGATGCAGCATAATGTCCCAGATCGCATGCACTCTCTCTTATCTCACACACACACACACACACAGAGAGCTGTGTGGTTCGTTCTCGTTATACCCTTATTCTTAGTCCCGCTCCATCTTCTACTACAGGGCCGGAGCAGAGTGGGATCATATCAGGGTTCGTTTCCTGAGAAAGAGGGAGAGAGATCAGAGCCCCTGCCGTGGTAAGTAAATACAGCCTAATGGCCTCTGATTAATTCTACATTGCTCTCATCGGGCCAGTAAAAAGAGATGTAATGACCTGCATCTCTCTCCCTCTCCTTCCTTCTCCCTCACTCTCCCCCACCCACCCCCTTCCTCCCGCCTCCCCCTCTTCTCTCTTTCTTTCTCAATTTCTCCCTCATTTGCTCAGCTTTTGATTATGAATTAAAAGGGATTGCAAATGGTATGCTGTCGGTTGGCCCCCTGATTGCCATATTTGATTAAGAAATGTCAGTGTGCATGTTTCCCATGCCCGTCTTTTCTTAGCCTTTCTGGTCGGTGTAACATTCACACATCCGCCAGAAACACAATAGCGAACTCAAGATTGAGCAAACTTGCTCTAATCAAACACATTCTTCCGTCTCCAATTTCTCTTTCTTTGCCTCTCTTCACTCTCTCTCTCTCTTTTCAACACTCGCCGTGTTTTTTTTTTTTTTTTTTTTTGCAGCTTTGTGACACGCCAACAAGGGAGAAATCACAGACAATTAAAGAATATTGAAAAAGGCAGGTAGGGAACAGACAAACTATGGGAACAGGTTTTAAATATCCACATTGTGGGGTTTTGTTTTTTGTTTTTTTTGGGGGGGGGGAAATGGTTAATCTGTTACCGTGTAATGTAGTCGCTAAAGTTATACAGTGAGATTCTGATTAGCGGCTTCCCTTAAACTACATCAGACATTATATTTATATGTTACCTGGGATCCATGGCAGCCTGGGAAGAAAAATGCAATCTGCTGGTTTAAGAATATGTTCTTGAGCGGCAAGATTTTTCTCTTCAATGATTTTTTGCTGGTTAACAAAATGGAGGCCTTCAGCCATTCTGGGTACAAATAGAAATTCACTGAGAAATCAGCCGGTCACTTTAAGCTAAGTGTTTTAAAATGATTAAATAATTTGTAATATCTGCGTATTATTAGACTCGCCTTTTCTTCGCACACAGTGTGACGTCACCTCTGTGCCTGACATGGCTCATAACAGACAACAGGAAGATATTTTTATGCTTCCAATAAACAAATCAAATAACGATTTAACATATAATAATAAATCAGAGATCTATAATGTTTTACTATTCAGCTGGATGAACACTAAATCCAATTTGTTCACAACTCTGATCTCTTGATATGATTGCAAACTGATCGTTTTTGACTGCAGCACAAACACAAAGAGCGTGAGTTGTTGACGTAATATATTGGTTTTTTTGTCTCGGTAAAAGGATTTCCTTTGTGTTAATAAGAGTTTCATCGCTGTGCTCCAACTCTAAAACAATGTGGTTTGTCAGCACAAACCGAGATCTGAAACGTTTCTGCTGCAGTGGAAATCTTTGGCCGTGACGACAGACGTGTGAGGATTTCTCCTGGTGAAATTCAGCGTCGAGGTCTTTGATCTCATTTTCCACCGACATGAGCAGAACACATGGCAGCGCTCGTTCCCATCCCACGCCGGCACAACAAAACGTACCATTGCAAACACTTTGAGACAAATGCGTCCATTGGGAATCCTGGAAAGGTGAGGAGAAATAGATAACATGCAGTAAACAACAAAACAAAACAAATGCATAGTTGAAACCTTTAAGATACTCTGCACTGCGTCTTTACCCTTTTTATCGCCTCATGCAAGTAAATCAGACTTAAAATTTCAAGATGTAGGTCAGGTGAGATGATCAAAATGATTTCTGCTCCATTCCTTTCTTCAGATTTAGAGCTTTGCATGGAGTAAGGTTACCTTCTCTTGCACTGATGATGATGATGTTGCATCTTTTTAAATTGCAAAATTTGACTTCATTAGAATCAGATTTGAATGTATGTGGAGGAAAAACATCAAGCTCACATCGTCGTTGGGTGAAGTCGTGAAAAACCTTTGACAAAATCGGACGAAAAATTGAGAAGAGAATAGTGTCCACCTGACTGGAGCATCAACCTTCATGTCTTTGAATGGCCCAGTCAAAGTCCAGATCTAAATCCACATGACAATCTGTAGTAAAAAATGAAAGGTGTTGTTTTCAATCACCTTCCATCCAATCTGCTTGAACTTAATCTATCTTATATAAAAAAAAAATGTGCAAACAGTTTAGTGTCTCAGTGGGAACAGCTGTACCGGCTCACAATTTATTTAAAATATGAAAACTATAAAATAAAACTCCTCAAAGCACTGAAACTTGAAATCAACGGTGAATCTGAGAGTTCGAGCTTCATGCAGCCGATCTGTGAATATGATCAGCTGTTTTTACTTTTTTGTCTACCTTTAAGATCGGTTTAGATTCTTTGGAGAACCTTAAATAATCTGACATTTTTATGCTTCGTTTTCGGTGTAAACATGTTTTCCAACTTCGATTTTGTTCCTGTGTTCATCTCATTACCTATTTTCTGATTTCCCTCTCAGCTTAGACGCCTCCAGACTGGAGCGTTTCTCTCCTGGCCTCTAACATCTCCTGTGGAGGTCGTCTGGTCTGGCCCTGATGCACACGTCTTCCACGCACAGCTTTCACAGTCACACCGACTCAGTCCGTGTCGCCTGCATGCATAAACTTACATATATTTAAGTGAAATGTGCATTCAGTGCAATGTGTCTATTAATCCACGCCTGTGTCCCTGTAGCCACATTTGCGCATGCATGACCATGTGAACAAATGCACTTTTTTGTGTGTGAAGAACGTGTGTGTGTGTGTGTGCGCGCGCGTGCGTGTGATAATGGGCCGCGTCCATCAGCACACAGAGCACGAGGCCTCCGTATCGGGCTGGAGACACTTAATGCCTGTCACAGGGTTAGATCAAGTGTGCACAAACGAGAATTGATTCCTTTGAAAAACAGAATCCAACCAAGGACAGTTTTCCCATTTGCCAAGGTGTACGAATGAGTGAAGAGTGGAGGAAGAAAATGGGAAAAAGAGAGATAGAGAGAGAGAGAAAAAGGGTGAAGGAGAGAAATCTGTTGATCTTTTGAGATGAAAAGCTCTACTTTCCCGAGCCGCAAAATGAAATGGTGGGCATGAAGTCCAAGGATGTAGGAGGAGGAGGTTTTGCTTCGCCTCTTTTGTCGTCCTCCCGTCTGTCCGTTTCAGCAGAGATGGAGGAGAAGGTGACCACATATCAACCTTTTTTTTTTTAATATATGCTGGCAAGAAATCAGCTTCCTCTCAGACCACCGAAGACGCAAATCCATAAGCTCTCAATGCTCCTTTCTCACATTATTCCGTTTACAATACAAAACTTGAATGTGGAATTTTATTAAACACTTTGTCGTGTGGAAAGAAATTGGTATTTAACCACGTCGACGTGGTTAAATACGTTAAATACATTCCCATTTGTAATGCACTTCTTTAGGACATAAGTCACGTAGAAAGTGTGATTTGCATCACTAAGCTGCACACAATAACTGCACTTAAAATACATGAATATAAAATATATTTTTTAAGAGAAATGGAGAAAACTATATATATTAAAAAAATCCAGACAATACAGACAGTTGTGTAGGTTTTTAAACATCATGTACGGGAATTTCTTTGGGACGGCGATAAATCACAATTTTTATCACGACAAACTTTTATCACTGAATCATAAACGATACGATAAATGTCGACCCCGTGTCCTCTGATTATTACCTTCTTCTAGTTTGAGATTAGACAACTTAGACACCATTTCTTAATTAGGTAATTTTCAGAGACAAACAGTGGCACTGAATCCTGTTTGTTGGTAAACTTTATTTAACCAGAAAGCGAAAAAACTTACTGAGATAAAATAATAATAATAATAATTAATAATCTCATTTACAAAAATAATTATAATAATCTTATTTTCATGACAGCAAAACAAGATAAAAACAGGACAATTTCAGTTTTGCTTAAGGACAGCAGAGTAAAACTTGTGCTTTTTGCTGATCTGTCTAATAAATTGAAGCTGTCGCATTATTTAATATGATTAACTCAATACATTTTTATCTTTTTGTATTATCGAATATGCCAAAGTGTGTAAAAGTTCAATCTGTGGGAATACTTTTACAAGGCACTGGGTATAACTTCCTGAGTCTTTGGGTCAACACGTAGAAGCAGAGAAGGACAGCACAGGTTCCACTGCGCTTTTTTTTTTTTTTTTGGCAGGTGGCCCCTTTCGCATTATATTCTTGACTTGCCTCCAGGAGGGCCTAATGACCCTCCCCTAGGAGGGGGAAATAGTGGAGGAAGAAGTGGGGGGAGTGAGGGTGCGCAGTGCAAAGACGCGCCCTAAAAACCACGGAGGAGCCGGCCAGGAAGAGAGAGAGAGAGAGAGAGAGCGTACCATGTCCCCCACTAGAGAGACAAGCGAGAAGGAGCTCTTTTTCTCAAGACTCTTCATGTGCCCATCTCCCTCTCACTTCAACCTCTCTCTTCTTCTCCGAGTCACTTCTCCACCTCCACCCATCTTCCCGTTTCTTACTCCCCTGCCCTCCGGAGCAGGTTGGTAATTGTCCCGCGCAGCAGCACGGTTTTCCATTAACTTAAGTATGTACAAGGAGCCGATCTCTAACTGAGCTAAATGTGGATTTAGTTGTGCTTTCTAGCTCCATCACAGGGAGGAAGTGGGGTCCTCGGGGGGCGGGGGTGGAGGGGGAAGCGCGGTGCACGTCGAAATTCCCCAAGAATTTCCCAACAGGTTTATTAGCCACATCCAAAACAAACCCAGAGCCCACACCCATCTACGCCTTCTTTTCCTGAAAGATGGGGAGCGGATCCATAAACAAAATCAGAGGGTACAGTAAGGTCCCTAATCAAGGCAATCAGGGCTGTTTTCAGTGGTGTACAGCACAGCCGCAGCGATGGCCTCATCTTTGTCTGCACTTTAATTACTTGCTTTTGCGTTTTGATGGAGGGGGGTGACGGGGTGATTGTGCCTTATCACCTATCTCCAAGGATAAAAGACTACCCAATTACTTTGTTTGGATGCTAATGATTGCATTTCATTAGTAGCCGCTCTTAGCCCTCCTCACCCAGTAAATGAATGAATATGCAGTAATTTCAATTATTGAAATTATGAAAATTGCTTTTAAAAAGACGGCACGGGTATCATCAGCTTTCCACTGTGACATAATGCCATTTTAATTTCTATAATAGTTTTAATTGTCAGTGTGCCCGCTGTGCATTAATCATTTAATTGTATTGTCTTTTTCCGCGCCAAACACCTACACGCCCCCCGAACACCCACTCGCTTTCCCGCCCCGGCTTTGAAAATACAAATCCCAATCAGCAGCACTACCATCTTGAGAGTGATGAGCCACGGAGAAGACAAAACTAAGTTGATTCGAAGTTCGGCGATGGCGGCCAAAAGTTCTTCTTTGTTGGAGGGGAATGGAGATCTGAACATGTGACCTTGGAGATCCCTGACATTCCTGCTGAGGACTTCATAAGGAAATGAAAGAAGCTAAAAAAAAGAGAAAAAAAAAGGTAATTAATGAAAACATGAGACGGTTGTTTTAGTTCAGACTTCAATTGCAAATTGATTCTAACGTAAAGGTTGGATATAATTTAAGATAAAATATTAACTTGAACATTCATTGTTGGAAAAAAAAATGCTAAAAGAAACTTTCTTTTTATCTCAGAAAATAAATAACATCTATTTATTTTATTTTTATTTGTCTAAAAATATATTTTAATAGATACAAATTCACCATAACAAGAATTAGTATCATAAACAGGGCAGACGACTCCAAAGAAAACTGTAAAAGAAATGTAAATATTTGGCAACAATTAGCAGAAGTTTTGTCTACGTACATTTTAATTAATACTTTTAAACCAAAGTTGTGTAAGTTTAGCAGCTCAAAGTGAATTAATTAGTTAAATTTCATGGAATTTTTAAAATTTACTTAAACTTAAATGTTCAGATCATTTAACTCCATATTGTCAATCATTATAAGTAGAGTCAAAGTTATGTTTTGTGTTTTAAGACTTTAAGGACAACAGGCAGACGATTTATATTTCAATATTCAAACAGAAGTACAAAACATCTGCTTGATCACCAGTTAATAAAAACAAGACGGTAGTATGTGTATAAAATATCTTATTAGTCATCTTCTAAACATACATTATCATCCGTAAGCTGGGATGAATCAATACCAGCTGGCCGTAGTCATTTGTGCGTGCAAACAAAAAGTACAGGTTCAGAGAACAGACCTGTTGTTCAGTCATAAAGTGTCACAGAAACCTTAATAAACATTTAAAAATGTTTTTAAATCCATTTTAAAATCCATGGCAGCCTCAGGATGAAGAAGTCTAGCTGGCGGGAAAGTTTGACCAGAGTTAGCGCTGTCGCTAAGCTAGCTAATGCTGGAAATGTTCAAATCCTGATCCAGTACAGAAACTTTCCGCAAAGTTTATGACAGTTCTCAAGTTCCACTAAGTTAATATATCAATTCGTAACACAACCTAAATAGAAATGGTTGTGTGCACCATTCTCTAGTGCACACCATAAACAAGGCTAACATTCAACCAAACCAACACATTCAGCTAAATGCTAATCAAAATCTTCAGGTCAGATTTGTTGTTAGAGAAAATAATTGATCTTAGATTCAAACCATTGCTGAACATTACATTACATGCAATGTATTTAAATTTTAAAAATTGCAATTGCTAATATTATCACCCTCCTAAATTCACTTTTACAGAGTTTTTCTAGTTCCACTGAACAATATTATGTTAACTCCTTTGTTAGCAGGCAGTGAGAGTGCTATTTATCAGAAGATACTGTTTTAAGGAAGTGGAGTCCAGCTTTCTTAAATGGTGGTGTATAAAGATAAAACTTTATACACAATCCGTCTCTTTTAGTGCATGGATTTTCTACTTAGTTATAACTAAGTAGTTAAGTAGTTTCATTTTCACCTGCCGTCGTAGAAGCATTTAAATATGAAAACCTAAGTTAAGTGCATCCAGCAATCACCCAAATGGTTATTATGACACTTTCTTGTCTGCTGTGCGTTTCTGAACTGTGAGCTAAAGCATAATTACAGGCAAAATAATAAACAACAACCATGAGAAGAAGCTCTCAATTGTCTCCTGAAGGGGTAGAAGCACAAGCAGCTTCTACAAAAATGAATACATTGCCAAGTTTTTTTTTTTTCTTTTTTAGTCCCAAATCATTTTTCTTAAACTCGTGTCGTGAAAATCAGCTCAAACGCCTCAGCGGTGAACTTCAGAAGGCGAAACCGACAGCTGGGACATTCTCGGTTTTCAATGATATTTCTGCCGGTGTGTTTTGAAAAGAGTAAAATTGTGAGTTAAGGGTGACATAAGTACAAACACACGACAGTGTTTTTAAGATTTCACTTGGATGGAAAGTAGTCCAGTAGAAATCAAGATGACATAAGACATACATCAAAATGGTAATTGTGTTAGAAATCTTGGTAACACTTTATTTGAAGGGGGTTGAATAAGACTGACATGACACTGTCATAAACATGAATAAGTCTTCATGAATATTTATAACTGTTGTCATAAAGCGTCATTCGGTAAATTATGACACTTTTAATTCAAAGTTGACATTCAAAATGTCTTTATGACAACTTGACATTAACCACGAAATCATTACTGTTTAAACTTTACCTTTAATAACATAAAGTTACCTAATTTTTAAAGTGCAATCAGTAATACTTTTATAACAAAGTTATATCAGTAATGATTTCTTGGTTAATGTCAAGTTGTCATAACAAAGACATTTTGAATAATGTCAACTTTGTATTAAAAGTGTCATAATTTACCAAATGACGTTTTATGACAACAGTCATAAATATTCATGAAGGCTTATTCATGTTCATGACAGGTGTTATGTCATGTTTATGACAGTGTCATGTCAGTCTTATTCAACCCCCTTCAAATAAAGTGTTACCGAAATCTTTAACAGACTGTTGCTTAACGCACTGACTGTGTGTGCTGCTGGTTAAAATGGCACTACAGATCCACTTGAGATCAGCCGGTGAGAAAAAACATGACCTTTTCTCCACAAACTTGAAACTGTTTTCTTAAAGTAAAAGTTGGAAGCAAAGATCTAAATATTGTTAATGTGATTTTATTTGTTTTTAGGCAGATAAACCCTGATTTTGCATACATTTTAAGTCTTAAAATGTATGCATCAACCTGAGCTACAGAACCATTCCAGGATGTGTTTTTTCTTCCTAACATTGATACTTTGACAAAAAAGCAATGTCTAAAGTAATTGCTTAAAATATCCAATGTTCACCACAATACACAGAAATACAGTCTTGGTCTCTTGGTCTTTTTTTCGGAAGAACCAGCCTCGACTCCATGCAAGATGGTTAGTAATGGTAGCTAACGCCAACAGCTTAGCGTTAGCTAAGTCCAAATGAAAATCCTCAAAAACATCATGGTGATTTATTCATCCACCCATTGGCTGCATTTTATCACATCATAACTCTTTTTTTCTTCTTGTAACAAACTGAGCTGACATTCGTCGTGAATTAGCTTAGATAGTTTTACACGTTCCACTTCGGTGTCTGTTTCAGGGAGGAAGGTCTTTGGTGGGGCACCAACCCGCTCCGTGTCCCATGTAAATATTCATCAGCTTCTATGTAAACAACCATCCAACGCAAATAGTTTATATTACTCCTGTTTGTGTAAACCGCTGTGACATTTTTCAAACCGGTGTTATAGCAGCTGCTACGGGAGCCTAAGAAGGTCAAGCAGAAGAAAGAAAGCGCCGATATTGTGTGAAGAGAGAATCTAAATGCGACGATAGCAAGTGGAAGCCCGGAAAGTACTCTTAAAAAAAAAAGGGAACGGATTAGCAAAAGACTTACCCTTCTTTGGTTTGAATCACACAATATGACTGTAAAAGAAGCCGATTTTTTTTTATTTTTTCTTTTTTTTTCTATTCTTTGCTCCAGGCCGTGACATTTTGCCAACTTATCACCCTATCGGGGTCAAGAAGTCTCTTGCCACAAACTGAACAAACAAGCTTGCTCTGTTTTATTCAACCACATGAGGATGAAGTCCTTGGTTTACACACCGTCTGCGGCGCACTGAAGGCACCGTGGTCCAAGGCTGGCCTTCGTCCAGTTCCTACACAATTGTGCCACCTTCTGGAGTAAATGGTGAAATATAGCAGGAACAAGGAGGAATTCAGAAGCCACTCAAGCTAAGAGTTTCTTTGTGCCGTAAGTCCCTTCTTTATGTTTCTGTGTTCCTATTGGTTGAATGCAAGAGAGCACAGGGAAGACAAGGTCACCTTTAACCAGATTTTTTATTTTTTTTATTTTGTTAGTCTGTGAGGAAAACTGTCTTTTATGTTGAGAGGAATTTTATACATAAACAGGTGAAGTTGGCAGGTGGATTTTTGAAGGCTGTAAACTTCAGAAAGACGAATCCGGTTTCATTAGCAAATCATTTTTAATTTATACCAGAGAGTATCAGCTCAATATAAATAGTCTAATTAGATTTGTACGGTGGCCTCGGTTGTCCTCCTGTTTTCCCAGGACAGACGTCTTCCCCGTTTCTATTTCATCTCCAGTCTGTCACAGAAAAGGCTGCGGTGTTTGCCTGCATGTTGTTGGTGCACTAGTGAAGCGAGGGTGTACACATGGCTCATATTTGGGAGGCTGGGGGACGAAAAGAGAAGATTGGGGAGTGATTCAATCGCTACACAAATGGATTTGGCTAATAGAGGCAGCCTCTGATCCTGACTGGTACACAGCTGGAGCCTCCCTAATTGGAGAGGGTGAAGAGTGGAGAAGAGAGTGGATGGGGAGAAAGAGAGAATATGGCCCCCGGAGAAAATGCACCTCCGCTGCATCACTGCTGGGCTGACGTGGCTCAGGGCAAACGTTTAAAAAAAAACCCACACGGCTCATCATAACTCATTGTTAATATTCTCGCCCCTGAAAGCAGCTTTGTGTAATCATTTCTGGTATTCTAAATATCTGATGAAGGGTGGTCTAAGAGCAAAAAGTGGCCCACTTCACCGCAGTGAGGACCATTAGAGAAATGCTATAACTATTTATCAGCGCTGAGTACCTCGGCTCTTTTTTTCTAAATTGGAGTCGTCGTAAAATGTGTTTCCCTGAAATAGTTTGAGGTAAAAATGCAAAGCAGGCAGAGCCGAGTGAAATTCCTCCTCCTAAAAGGAGTGAAAGTCAAATTCCTCAAGTTTGCTTCGTTTTTTTGTGACGCAATACTTGTCCCAGATTTATTTCTGCATAGCTTTTGATGTGCCAGTTTGAGTATTTTGGGGTTGAATGTGAATTTGTCCAGTATTTTCCCTCTTTTAGGTAATTATTTTAATGCCGCTGACTCCCATTCATAATGCATTTTTCTGAGTATACTGCTATTGCAGTTTTTTTTTGTTTGTTTGTTTGTTTTTTGTCATTCGTTGATCTTCAAATCGTTTCAGATTTTTCATGATGCGTTGTCCAACGAGGTGAAAATATTTAATCTGCCAAGCATACGGGATGGGAATTAAACAACTTTTAAATGACTTTGCATGAAATGTGAAAATAGTCCAGAGTCAATGGCCATTTTTGAAAAAATATTTCCAAATTTGCATATGTGGAATGGGACAAAACAAAATCTGCCAAATAAGGACTTTGACTGCTAGGACTGGCATTTAAGGAGTTCAACAAACATCTTGAAAATGTATGAATATGTGTTGTGTATGTTGAAATATATAGTGGTACTTATAAAAAAATAAAAACACGATTGTACACAATGTTTCCATGGCAAATGTCTTTTGTTTGCAAAGATAAATCTCAGTGTTTCAGACAGAATAACCTGAAATCATAACTTGCATTTCCCGTGTAAATGACGACCAGCATCCGTGTAAATTATACCCACATGCAGACGTGACGTCAAGTAACTGTTCAATTGGTAACGCTGATATGAGCCACTGTGACAGTTTTAACAAGTTGCTCTAATTTTGGTAGAAGTTTGCTTTGGTCTAGCCTCATTAGCTTCAACCAAACTAACCTGAATATAGTAAATGAAAATACCAAGAGAAATATCTACTCTACAACATACTAACGACTTAGAAGCTTTTAACAGAATCATTTACTTCAAAAGAAACAAACAAACAAAAAAAAAAACGGGGTTATTTTGACAGCTGTAGTAGCTCACTGGAGACAGAGCATACCTTAATTTTTTTTTTTTAGTATTTTTCTTTTAAGCTACATTTTGTAGTCGTGACAACACAGAGGAAAACGTTGGGAAAGCGTCGCACCAAAAGGAACGCGTTTATTTTAAAGAATTCTTTAAATTTGGTGCAGAAAATGTGTTTGGATTTTCTAGGAATGAGACCATTTTATAACGTCGCGCAGGGATCTCGCGACTCTTCCTTTTGCGTAAGGAGTAAATCTGGTGAGATATAAATGAAAGAATGTGTGCGCACGCCGGGAAAGGGGAGAGCGACTGGACAGAGTGCAGAGTGAGAGAGCTCTCGTGTGTGTGTGTGTGTGTGTGTGTATGTGTGTGTGTGTGTTTTAAAAGTAGGAGGTCTCTTCCAATTGCCGCAAAACACAAAGAGCTGCAGAGGGAGACCTCAGCAGGGGGGCTCTTAGCAAGGCCATCAGCTCACAGGGAAAGGGCAGAGGAAGGGCTCACATGCAGGAAACAGCCTGTAAAGGAGACGGATTTCACTCACACGATCTCGCACTTACATCCTCATGAGGACATTTAATTGTCCTTCGTATAAGTCCAGCCAGCCGGTCTATGAAGAGGTTTGATAGAGAACATCGGTGGGCAACCAGTAAGGACTAAGGAAGAAGTGTAGAGAATACGCTAACTAGATGTGCACTCCACGAATATGTCCTGATCTGAAAAGTTGGAAGAAGTGACCTCATTTTGAAAGAGAAGAAGAGAAAAGTCCAATTTTGAAACTGTGGCAAGTATGAAGGGGTCACAGCAAAAATGAGAGAAAAGAAGAGGAAGACTGCATGCAAAACGTGGAAGCTGGTCAGAGTTGATAGGAGCATGGACTGAGCTAAAGAAAAAATAAAACACAAACAGAAATGTGTTGGATGGCTTTAATGTGAAACCAGAGCTGAGCTCAGACCTAAATCCATCTAAACATTTGAGGCAGGAGTTGGAAATGAATGCTCAGGACTCAAAAGTTGAATAAAAATGCTCAAAACATTTCAGCAACGAGGCAATTCAAAGTGCTTTACGTCATAAAAACATATTACCGTCACCAATCGCGAAATAAGCAATAAACTTTACATTTTGTCAAATGCCATGATGAAATGCACATCACATATGTAGATCAATGTTCCGGTTGTTATGAATCGAAGGCAGCGCTAACAGAAGGGCTTTCAGCCTCGATTTAAAGTTTCCTGTAAATTTGCTCCAGATTAGTGGAGCATAAAAACGGAATGCTCCACTTCTCCGTGTTTAGTTCAGGGATGCAGAGTTTATGAACTACTTTATGTTTGCTTTAGTCTCAACCCTAAAGCAAACATAGAAAACAATATGTAAATATGCCTTTATTTTTGCTGAAACTTGTCCTAAAGCCAGATTAAAAGTACAAATACATCCTCAAATTTTGCCCGTATTCACTAAGTACAAGGAAGAAGAAGAAGAAGAAAAAAACAAACAAGGGACAACTCTGACACTCTTTTGTTTTGTAAATGCACACCTTCACGTTCTGCCGAATCACATGCAAAGACAGTATTTATGTCAGGAGAGGAAAGGGAATAATTGGCTTGGCGCTCCTTGCGCTCGACAGCCGATAATCCCCGATCATCAGCATGTTAATGTACAAACACAGACAAATCGTCAGATCCTGTGGGTACACGTACGCACAGAAGCGAGCCGACCATCCCTCCCACCGTGTTTCCTTTGTGCGGACCATTGTAGCAGTTTTGTCTGAGCCATATGGGCTGGTTAAGGGATGTGGACCCCCAGCAGCTGAGGCTTTGTCCTCATGTCACACAGGTCACCCGGATTGTGTTCCCCGCTAATTCCTTCTTTCAGGGACTACAGATCAGAGTCTATAATGATCTGGGCGGCCTAGGACAGGGATTACTGCTGCTACCAGACATCAACAGGCCTGTGTGTGTGTGTGTGTGTGTGTGTGTGTGTGTGTGTGTGTGTGTGTGTGTGTGTGTGTGTGTGTGCGTGTGTGTGTTTGGGAAGGGGGTGAAAAACGGGAGAAGATAGAGAGAGATGACATCTTAGATGAAACACTGTTGCTGCTACTCTCTCAGCAGGAATCAATTGATTCCCTCCTCTTGCTGGAAACCCACCCACCGCACCGATATGGATCCTCCCTAACACACACACACACACACACACACACACACACACACACGCACACACGCTCTGAGTTTTCCACCTCATTTCTTCCAATCCAGTTTAGGCAAACAGTATTGGCAGAGAAAGTGAAGGCAGTGAAGGGAACGTAATGGCTTCTGTTGTCTTCCCTGACCTCTACTGTTGCCGTGTGGATTACAGATTACAAAGTGATTTCTGCTTCTTTCTTTTTTTTCCCCTCCACACCTTTTTACCATCTATTATGTAACAGTATTTTAACATGGCAAAATAAAAACTTAATAAAAACGAAATAAAAAGTTTTATCTCAGTAGAAACTGTGAAAGATTTCTTTCAAATAAAAATCTGCTCCAGAGGTCACGGTGCCTCCACTGCTTTATTTAATCTCAATTTGCGAGATTAAGTCTGTCTAATTATTTATTTTGTAAGTGAAACATTTCTTTCCTAAAATTCTTGTGATTCGTGTAATTTCTTTCTCGGTATTAATCAACTTTAAGCTCATGAAACTTGTGTAGTCTTCTCATTGTTCAGCCTTCTTTAACGCTGCAGTGTGTAACTTTTCTAAAAAGAAATCGGGCCTCTGTCTCTTTAAGAACTCCCGCTCCTTCTGAAACTTTGCAGAACTCCACAGGTCCATCCAGGTGTTTTGCTCAGATGAATGGTTGCCGCGGGAGATTAGAGGATTTCTCAAACATGCATGAAAGAATCAAGGCAATGCTCCAGATACGGTGTTGATGAGGGAACGACATTTTAACGTGACGTAGAGCTCAAAGAAGTTGACTTTACATGAAAATGCCCCTTTAACTTTAAAGTTTTAAAATGATTTACGGTTACAATTTGACAGTAATAATACCATTCAGTCATTTCTGAAGACTGTAACTAAAATGTAAATATGAGGGGAGTAGAACTGATTAATGGAACTTTTTCTTACAAAATGAGATGCTTAATGTGAAGAACTTTTTCTCTTGTGTCCCTCTGCTTAAACCCTGTGGGGAAAAAATACTGCAAATACGATATGTGATGAAATATAGCATGAATCAAATGAAAGTCAGTCCTTTCAAACACAAACTGCAACTTTCACTGAGATCAAGAGCAGGAAATCCAGAGTAGATGAAAGGCTTGTTGCAACAAGAGCCTTTCAGTTCATTTCAGAAAGGAAAAAAACAACAACATTGTCGCCGTACAAGACTTTAGCAAACAGCGCTGGTCTCTCTCGCTGCCAGGAGATTGATAAGACGAGCTTACTAATTAGATCTTCAGAACAAAGATGTCTGCGTCCTAAATGATGTAGACCAAAAACAAAAAAAGATGAAGCAATGCTGAAAAGAACTACTTTTAATGGAGCAGCTGGGGGAAAAAAAACAAAAACAATTTGGGTTTTTTCCCTCGTTCCACTTTTAATTTTCTGCCCTCGTTTGTTTTTGTTGACATTGCTTCAGAGTTGAGCCTCTTCCTTCTTCCCTCTTGTGAAAGGGACTTGCATTGTAATTCATTCTCTCAAGGACCGGTCCCCATGCAAGGCCAGCCCATAATAGGGCCGAAACCATTTACCCAGCAGTTTTATTTGTGTTTCTCTCTCTCTGTATCTCTCTCTCTCTCTCTCTCTGTCTCTCTCTCCCGTCTCCTTTCCCTCTCGGCTTCGGACAGATCAGGGTTGCTGTGAGATGACAGCTGTCTCCGATGCATTAGCATTGCAAATGAATTAATTAATGGAGGTGGGGTAAAGGGGGGAACCTCAGCCACAGGCCTTCAGCCTGGTTCAGGACAGAATGGGTCGAGTTCTGGCCAGGTGCTTATGAGAAACTGTGAGATGAGGCGCAGCTGACAGGCCAGATTTTAGTTTTTTTCTCATTGCATTGTTCTGGTCTTACCCCTTCAAACTTCGCAGATTACAGATTTTTCTTGTATTTTGGCAAGAATACGAGAGTTTTTCAAATGTCCTGCATCCTCAATTTAGTTCATTTAAATCCTGTTGATTCACAACAAATGTCATGAAAACATCCAGTTCATTCACAGAACTGTATAACCAATTCAATCCTATATACCTTATATCCAATTAGTATTATTATTATGGATCCAGACTTTCTCGTCTCATGAGAGTTAGCTTGTAATCATTTTATTCATGTAGCATCGCTTATTTGTCGGTTCTTTAGCACAGTACGTTAAACAGACATATAAATGTTACAACATGGTTCTCATTACGAATTTCTGGTGATTTCTGAGTCGGTAGTGATGTATTTTATAAATACGTGAGATAAGGGGTCGGATTAGATAAGTGTTCACTACTTTTCAAACAGAAACGTGGTGGTAAACCAGCTAGTTTGTTCTTGGTTATATACGCACACGTTTCCCCTTGTCCTGCGTTTTGCTTGTTTTCTCGTTTAAATGAAAAGAAACGTTCGTAGCCGACTATTGTGGCGACCGTTACAGTTTTGGTCGTTTTTTTTT